TGCGAATCAAATGCGGACGCATCTGGCACCCGTGGATATTGCAGCGACCAAATGGACTGCTCTGCAGGAGCAAACGGTCTCGCCTTCTCTCGTCTGCATCCTTCTTTTCCACATTGTTCTCTGTGGTTGCGGTCTCCTCCATGTTCTTTCGTTTCTTTGGTGGCATTGCAGAAGACTTGGCTGAGCATGAAGAGGATGCTGCTGTGAACTGCGCAGTGCGGTCCGCAGCCTCTCGTGCCATAGACTTGGCTGAGCATGAGGAGGCTGCTGACGCGAACGGCACAATGCCGTCCGCAACCTCCAGTTTCTGTGGTGATCGGTCGAATTCTGACGACATGAGGCGCAAAGAAGACAACTCACCAAAAGTCCATGAATCACTGACACGAACAGGTGTAGCAATCTTTTCGGGACTTAGCGGCACATCGGGGTCAGAGAGATCTTCCGATTCACTAGCCTCTGCTAGCTGCCTTTGTCCACGCTGCAAGTCTTTAGTCAATGCAGAAACCGGAGACATCACCGGAAGTTCCTCATCAGCGTCACTCGGTGACCATGGCATATGGCCATACAGAGCTGCATTCAAAAAATGTTCCAAACGTTCTTCAGACCAAGGAAAAGACTGGAGCAGAGTCATGTAACAATGGCGTCGTTGATCTCTCATTGGAGTGCTCGCACATATGGTTCGGAAAAAGTACACTATATACTATCACAATATATAATATCAGAAAAAACATATTACAATATGTCTCATGTCATGCCATCCATCCCCATCCCTGGGCTGATCCAACGCTGGTGGAGGGGCTGCGGCACCGTAACAATGGCGTCGTTGATCTCTCATTGGAGTGCTCGCACATATGGTTCGGACAAAGCACACTATATAATATCACAATATATAATATCAGAAAAAACGTATTACAATATGTCTCATGTCATGCCATTATCTCGTGATGCCATCCATCCCCATCCCTGGGCTGATCCAACGCTGGTGGAGGGGCTGCGGCAGCCACCGGTGCTTGGGCTATGGCCTGGAAAGGCCAAAGGGCGGATATGGACCGAACCGTGGAACCTAAAAACCACCCACATTTGGAAATCAGACTTGGGTATAAGAATCAACCCCTCTGAAAAATATGCGTTTTTCAGTTGGCATTCTTATTCCTAATATATGGAAAAATAAAAAATGTCCCAAACCACCAACCAGATGTAAGAAGGATTTGAACCCTTTTTATCCTTTGGGGGTTGCTATATTCGATGTTCCTTTGGAGATTTTCCTGAGGAAATCCCCATTCCCCAAGCCCCAAGCCGGTCGGACCCGGCTGCTTGACGCACATCCACCACAAGACGTCGAATTCGTGGCCATAGGTCCTACCAAATGTGGCATCAGTCAAAACATTCCAGGGTGAGGTCCAATTTATGATGGACTGGATTCAAATGGGAATGGTTCAGTGGATTCAAATGACTTCTCCCACATTCGTGCACCAAACATCATTGGGTCAAAGATGGTCAAAGGGATTCAAATGTAAAATACGCCCAAGTTTATCTGGTATTTTGATCATGCCCTTTTGGTAATCAGACTTGGGTATAAAGAATCACCCCATGTGAAATCCCCAACATTCCCCAAGCCCCAAGCCGGTCGGACCCGGCTGCTTCAAGCACCTCCACCACAAGACGTCGAATTCGTGGCCATAGGTCCTACAAACCGTGGCATAAGTCAAAACATTCCAGGTTGAGGTCCAATTTATAATGGACTGGATTCAAATGGGATTGGGTCAATGGATTCAAATGACTTCTCCTACATTCGTGCACCAAAAATCATTGGGTCAAAGATGGTCAAAGGGATTCAACTGCAAAATACGCCCAAGTTTATCTGGAATTTTGATCATGCCCTTTTGGTAATCAGACTTAGGTATAAAGAATCCCCAGTTTCAAGAGCATAATCTACGAATGTGACATTTTCCATGATATTCCCGTGCCATGTTTACAGCATACCCGCGTTTAATTGCCAGAGGCACAAAAAAAACGGATGGTTTGATAGCAAGAACACGACGCAAGTCTGTGGATTGCTCAGTGAAAGTGAAAGTTACCCTTGCATGAGTAATGTGGTAACTGTCAAGCCTGGATTAATCAAACCCTAGGCTGGTAGGTTGTTTACTTAAGATCAGTTGAATATCAGATTGTAACTATTTGGGGGGGTACCCCCTTAATCAATACACCATGGTTTATTAATCCGCTGTTGACATCAAACTCCATCAACCATCTCCAACGACCCCGGCTCAGTCCTCTAGGTCAGAACAGCTTTGGAACTGACCTGGCCACTCCGTGCAGATCATTCCATGAAAAATGGCCATCACCACATGAGATGAAATGGATGAAATGAGTGCACAGTGTACCCCGCTACAGCTCTGCAAGACTCAATTTACGTTTCATTACGTTTCCAAAAAAATCTCATTGGCACACATTGGTGATGCTTCCTTTTTTCCTGGAGGCAGCGCCGACGTGCACTTTCAAGTGTGGCGGTTGCCATAAATGCGACCCAAAGCTACACCTCTGTCACGCGGTGACATTGTGCTGCTTCTCTGCCACACCGACTGCTGCATCGAACTGCTGGCAATCTCTGTCTGTGCTTCCTCAACAGAATCACGTGCCTCCTGCCAAAATCTTTCAAAGACGTTTACAAGTCAAACTTCTGACAGCTCAAAAAAAAGAGGTGGGTGGGAAGCGTCAGAGAAGAGCAACCAAGAGAAGAGTAGAGTAGGGAAGAGAAGAGAGGAGAGTAGAAGAGAAGAGAAGAGAAGAGAAGAGAAGAGAAGAGAAGAGAAAGAGTCAGAAGACTACCACTACGACTGCTTCTCGGACTCAGCGACCGGAGATTAGAAGTCAAACTTCCGACAATATGGACAGATGGAAAAGCAGAGGTGGGCAGAGGCAGCGAGGACAAGAAAAGAAGTGAGAATCTCAGCTGCATTCACCCCAGAACAAATCTCCACACATTAGCTTCTCAGGAACATTTTCTCTGCAAACAAACACACTTATATATATATATCCCCTTCCTTGTAACAGTGACCACAACTGGACAGCACAAACGGAGCACCACAAAAATGCGCCAAATTGAGTTTATCTCTGATCAGAAGTCCCAACATACAGCCATGCTCAAAGCAGAAAACACTGTCTTTCCACTACGCCTGCGGAAGCTCCATGGTGCCATCAACATAGGCATGGGTTGTCAAAGCAAAGTAGTAAAGGAACGTGCTTTGTGCAAGCTTTGCACTACAAAGTAGTACTGGGAAGTACTTTGTGCAACTGTGTAGTACACAGTAGTACTGAGAAATACTTTTTGCAAGCTTTGTAGTACAAAGTAGTACTGGGAAGTGCTTTGTGCAAGCTTTGTAGTACAAAGTAGTACTGGGAAGTGCTTTGTGCAAGCTTTGTAGTACAACGTAGTACTGGGAAGTGCTTTGTGCAAGCTTTGTAGTGCAAAGTAGTTCTGGGAGAGCTGGGTAAGCTGGCCAATTGAAATCAATTGTAAATGGAAATCTCTAGACAAAAACAGTTTTTTTTGCTGATTTTCTGGTGCTCCGTTTGTGGTCTCTGATTGTACTTTCTGGTGCTTCGTTTGTGCTCTCTGATTGGACTTGCTGGTGCTCCGTTTTGGCAAAACCTCTGGTCCCTCTGGTGCTCCGTTTGTGGTCTCTGATTGTACTTTCTGGTGCTTCGTTTGTGCTCTCTGATTGGACTTGCTGGTGCTCCATTTTGGCAAAACCTCTGGTCTCTCTGGTGCTCCGTTTGTGGTCTCTGATTGTGTTTTTTGTGCAAAGCGCACACGGCGACAAGGACAGCCGAAATTGGCCAACTTTACCGTGGACAGGCTGTCTCCCTAAGGTGTTTTTCGGCACCTTTCCTGGTGCTCCGTTTGGTCCTTTCTGGTGCCTCTGCTGGTGCTCCGTTTGTGGCCTCTCCTTGTGCTTTTTTTTGATTTGTACTTTGCATTGTTGCATCAATCAACATTAAACTATGTCCGATTTACTGGCATGAGATTAGGGTTTAGGATTTAGTGTTGAGGATTTTGCATGGCCGACCATACCGTGTGACTGACCGCAACATTTTGGCCTGAACAGATCCATGCGGCCCATGGCCCAAATCACTTTTGAATTCAAATGATCACGCAACACAACCTATGCCACATGTCTGGGATGTCAAAGCAAAGGGATGCCAAAGCAAAGGGATGTCACAGCCAATGGGATGTCAAGGCAATGGGATGTCAAAGCAACACAGGGGATCCCAGTCTGGTAACTTTAGGGGGAGACCAATGAGAGAATTGGAGACAGGACAGCTCCTTAGAGAATGACATGTGATATCGTGGTAGGTTTTTTTGGAGAGAGAACCATGAAAAGAATGATGAGCTGGACACCAACTCCAAGCCACCTGATAAAACAAATGCCAAGGAAAAGGGGACCAAGACATAAAGGGCTAGAAAGCACCAAATGGAATGATGAAATTTCTTACCTAGGCTCCGAATAGTTAATGTCATTCTGGGCTATTTTCCTGGTGCTTCATTTTGCTTCTCTGATATGTGGAAATCCATTCTTTGGCTGTTACAAGGGGGGGGGGAACATCCGAATAAATATATATATATCTATCTATATATATATATATATCTTCAAGAAACACTGCGTTGGCACATTGTGCTCTCAGGAAGATTTTCTCGAGCCATACGCTCTACTCCATTCCGTCCGTCAACCCTCTCCTGCATCGAACTGCTAGGGGCCTCTGTTTCCGCTTTCTCAACATCTCTTGGCGCCTCCTGCCAAGAAACGCAGCTGGCTGGTGCAAGAACTTTCAATCATGCGGTTTGACGAACTAGATGTGCCATGACGACAAACTAACGAATGCGCAGCTGCATTCACCCCAGAGCAAATCTCCACACATTGGCTTCTCAGGAACATTTTCTCTGCAGACAACTAAACAGCTATCTCCTATCACCTCGCAACATGTTGCCTGCTTTAATTTCAAATTGAACAAATCCAGACAAACACCCCTGCCTCTGCTGATCCGTCAGTCTGCACGTCGTGCAGCAGCCGCCGTAATTTAGCTGCTGGCAAGCCTAGCAGCTTGTGTAGGTCAACCACACTCCATTCCCGCAGCTCGGTCAGCCACAGCTCATTCTCCACAAAGGCGCCCAAATGGGCGATCAAGCCGTGCCTCTCCAAGCAACGACGTAGAGCAGCGTGCTCCTTGTCAACCTCATGCCCTGCATGCCCCTTCTGCACAGGCTTGCTAGAAACCTTTGGGCGAACATGTTTTGCGCCAGGTAGGAGACTCTTGCGCATCTTGCGAGCCTGTCCTTTTTTGTGCGGCTCCGGCCATGCCACAGGGCGTCCAACCAACTGCACTTTGGCCATTCCAGCATACGAATGAAGACAGCACCCACCAACTGCGAATGCATGGCATCCTAGACATACGCAATGAGCATGGCTTGCTGGCAACTCTCCTGCGGCTTCAGCCGCCTCAGGGGAACACTTCCATTCCTGCATAGCTCTCGGGCCGATCAGCACCAATACCCAACGGGTAACCTCCTGACATAGTGACTCCAGATCGTCGCACTTCAGGAGCTCCCCGTCCAAGTACAATGCTCGAACCGAGCGAAAAATCTGCTTCGATGCCTTGGTCTTGTACTGGCTGATGGCTTCGCTAGAGTAATCTTGTCTCATCATGATAAGCTTTGTCCCATCAGCACCATCTTCCTCATGCAAGAAATCTGTCAGCTGGAGCGCCTGCTTGGCCAACACTTCCAAGTGCTTGGAGTAATGCCCTGCAGGAATGTCGTAGAGAGGCTCGTCCACCTTCAGCACTGCTTGCTCGCATCGGCTAGTTGCAAGCTCTTCGAGCGAAGCCACAACGCTATCGACAGGCAGTCTGGTCTGTTCAAACGTAGCCCTCAAGCGCGATCCGTGCCAGCGCTCCTGCGCTTGCGTGCCACTGTAACTCCCTGGCTGGACCAAGGAGCCCCTCCACCCGGCATCCCAAATGCCGTCAGTGCGCGACATGTAGTGTCGCTGAATGGCTGCGACCACTTCTGCTTCGCCATGGGTTAAAAAAAATAAGAAAATCTCCTCCCACAGAGCTGAGAAGGCAGCGATTGGCAAATGCCGAGATGCAAACACTGCGCGCTGCAGGAGAGGGAACCAGGCCTTATCCCGCAGATGCTTCTCGGCGGTCTTCCAGCAGCCTGTTCGCCATGCGACACTGCGCTCGTCATGGCCCTGCGTGCAGCATACGGCATCGCATGAGGTGAATGTGCGCAACTCTATAATTGAGATAATTCTGCTAATGAATTTGAAACAGGCAAACTCGACCAGATGAAGCTAACAATGACAGCAAGAAGAACATGTCGCAGCTAAAAAAAAGATGTCTCGAATCCTCATCTCCACGTAACAAATTTTGCGTGTTGCACACGCGCAAAAACAATTCGCCTGGGCATAGTGCACTTTCGGTCGCACACAGCCCACGAAATGGGCCCAGTCCATCGCACGAACAGCGTGTGCAAGTAGCTGTCGACGCATAGCCTCAGCCCCAAGATTCCGATCGCTGTGCCATTGGCCAACACGATCCAAAAAATCAGGCACCTCCAAACATATCTCGAATGCCTGCGCCAGAGCTGTCATGATACGACAGTAAGCTGTCTCGGATTCTCCAACAGAAATTGCATATGCGCACTCAAAGAAGGATGTCGTCCAGCCATCTTGACCTCGATCCTTCATATCGTCCGACCAAGTCTTGGCAAGCAAGCCAATGCATATCAAAATATGCCCTTCGAAGACAACACGATACACACCATCTCCGCTAACTTTCAGGTACTGCTTGTTGCACAGCCGTGACCACCAGATACCTCATCCAGAGATGCAACAAATCATGCTTGGCATTTTGACTTTACCCTATCTGCCATATAGGACTTTTCCCCCACCTGCAAGGTGCAGGTTGTTAGATTTTATCACAGTTGTTCGCCTCCTCCTCCTCGGCTAGCTGGCTATCCGCCCCCTCCTCCTCGGCCTCCTCCTTCTCCTCCAACTCCTCCTCCCGTTTCTCCTCGACCATGTCTGCATCAACTTCCACCCCAACTTCCGCCTTGCCAACTCGTCGCCAAGCTCTTTGCCAACTTCCCAGCTCAGTGTGCACCACTGGACCTCAACCTGGGACCTTCCCAGCTCAGTGCGCACCGCTGGACCTCAACCTGGGGCCCTCCGAGTTCAGTGCGCACCGCTGGACCTCAATCTGGGACCTTCCCAGCTCAGTGCGCACAACTGGACCTCAACGGCCAGATTGAATGACAGAAGATATGCCAGATAGAATGTCAGATAGAATGCCAAAAGATATGCCAGATAGAATGTTAGAAGATATGCCAGATAGAATGCCAGATGATGTGCCAGATAAAATGTCAGAAGATATGCCAGATAGAATGATAGATCGAATGCCAGAAGATATGCCACATTGATGGGTAGAAAGTGTGCCAGAAGATATGCAGGATAGAATGCCAGAAAAAAGATTTGCCAGTCAAATGGACTAGAACATAGGGACAAAGAATGCCAGAAGATAAGCCAGATAGAATACAGGATCATACGTGTAGAATTGGAGTGGATCGCTTGCTTCGCTGGGTCCTGGGTCAAGCAAGCTCAAGCCAAAGCAAGTTGTCTCGTGGAACGGATGATGTGTTTGAGCAGCCATGCATCATGTGTATGTTAGCAGTTTGTATTGGTAAGCAAAAGCTTGTGCAGGTTTTGACTTGCAGCACTTGCATGACAGCAGTTGCATCACAGCAGTTGCATGACAACCCTTGTAACTGACATGTGGTTCAGCAGGCATGCATGAGGTGGATGTTAGAAGTCTTGCCAGCTGCATCGACTAGTACATAGGGACAAAGAATGCCAGAAGATAAACCAGATAGAATACAGGATCATACGTGTAGAATTGGAGTGGATCGCTTGCTTCGCTGGGTCCTAGGTCAAGCAAGCTCAAGCCACAGCAAGTTGTCTCGTGGAACGGATGATGTGTTTGAGCAGCCATGCATCATGTGTATGTTAGCAGTTTGTATTGGTAAGCAAAAGCTTGTGCAGGTTTTGACTTGCAGCACTTGCATGACAGCAGTTGCATCACAGCAGTTGCATGACAACCCTTGTAACTGACATGTGGTTCAGCAGGCATGCATGAGGTGGATGTTAGAAGTCTTGCCAGCTGCATCGACTAGTACATAGGGACAAAGAATGCCAGAAGATAAGCCAGATAGAATACAGGATCATACGTGTAGAATTGGAGTGGATCGCTTGCTTCGCTGGGTCCTGGGTCAAGCACGCTCAAGCCAAAGCAAGTTGTCTCGTGGAACGGATGATGTGTTTGAGCAACCATGCATCATGTGTCTGTTAGCAGTTTGTATTGGTAAGCAGCAGCTTGTGCAAGCGGTGGCGCCAGGTGACATTCGGGAGTGCAGGGGCAAACCGGCTAGCAACGTCACAGACCCCAGACAAACAAGCAATGGCTGGCTTGCAAAGGGAGTGGCTGGTATCTATGTGACAGCAGATTTGTCAGTGAGCAGATAGAATGCCAGAAGATATGCCAGATACAATGCCAGATCGAATGCCAGAAGATATGTCAGATAGAATGCCAGAAGATTTGCCAGTAACAAATCGATAAATGTCATGGTGGGGATCACTCGAAGGAAACGTAATTTTTCTATGGGGAAAGCAGTCTCCCAGTCTTACCTCACAGCCAAGTGATGCAATCTGAAAGAAAACATGACTGCGACAAGACAGCGCGTGCGATTTCACAAATTCACCCCCTCAAGATCGAGCATATAAAATATCATTGAAATCTATCTTGTCTTCTGGGTGTTCATTCTAGTTCAATTTGGATCCAAGTTTTATATCCAAGATCGGCGCACACTGCGCAAACCTGTTTTGCAGACCTTTTTTCTCAGCTGCATTAGGCCCAGCAAATCTGTAAAAAAATGCGACACCTGCTTTTAACCCTTTGACTTCAGGTTCGATGCAAACTCCATGGATGTGAATTCCAAACATGTTTTGCACGTTTCCCAGTATACCACGCTACCTTATCTTCCTTTTTTTGGGGGGGGGAAATTGAGGTCGATGGATTTTGAAATCACCTGGTTTTGAAGGTGAAAATCTTGATCGACGAAAACCAAGGATGCTTGTTCCAAACATGTCTTGCACCTTTGTGCAGATAGCTCATCCCAACTTGGTTCCTTTTTCTGCACTCCAACTCAACGGCCTGTTTTTTCTGATCTGTAGGAGTCAATCTACCAGTAGTACCCGCACGCGGCGGGGCGGTAGTTGCCCTAAAGATATATATGAAACCTTTCTCATCTATAGAACTTGCATGCGCCGTGCGCCAGCCAAGCCCGTGCGTGCATTTGAACTTGCACGGACCAAGTGCTTTGCAGCCTCTCGCACTGGCAATCGAGCATCGAATCTGTCATCGAACTCTGGTGCACAAAGATCTGTCATGCCTGCAATGCAAATGTCAATCTGATCGAAGGGGGTCCTCATGGAGGCATTGCGACGCAGCGCTGCCACTCCGTAACTCGGAAGTATTGCTTCCCAACTTCCTTTGATTAGATTATGTATTGTTATATTATGTATTGCTATATGATCTACCACCCTTCCTCAAGGTCAATTTCATAGCTTCTTATTCTTTTGCGATGTATTGGTACATTATGTATTATTATATAATCTACCACCCTTCCTCAAGGTCAATTTCATTGCTTCTTATTCTTTTGTGATGTATTGGTACATTATGTATTATTATATAATCTACCACCCTTCCTCAAGGTCAATTTCATTGCTTCTTATTCTTTTGTGATGTATTGGTACATTATGTATTGTTACATGATGTACCACCCTTCATCATAGTCGATTGCACCAAGTAAAAGTCATTCGTAACTCGGAAGTATTGCTTCCCAACTTCCTTTGATAACACTAGGAGGCTCATATAGCCAAACCTTCAGGGATCTAATTTCAGAGCCTCTCAGGGTCCTAACATCATAGTGGCAAAAAGTTTCGAACCTTCAACGGGAACCCCACGAAGGTAAGCATTCTAGACCCCTCTCCAAATTCAGTGTATGCCCAAAACTGGCGAGCTACGAAGCAGCCTTGGACTAACAAAGGTCAGCACCAAATCTTCATCTAAGTGTGCCTTCACCAGTACCAGCGGGTGAGTGTCCGTCTTGCCAAACTCTTCAAGAGTAGGATAGCCATCCACAAGCAGTTCCCAATCTTCCAAGTGCCATTCGCCGAGAGAGCGCGGCTTCGCCCCTTCCCGGACCTGACGGGTCAGCAGTCACTCTGACAGCGGCTAATTGCAAGACTTCTTGGATCCCCCCCTGTCAGATGAAGGCTGTGAGATTCTTCTGCGTTTCTCTCCATTGATATTCTTTTTGATGAAATGTCAAACGCCAAGCCAACTACTAGTCTAGAAATGCCATGGCTGGGATGACTCGAAGTAAACTATTGTCTAACGCCCGAAAACATCCCTGTGCCCGCCTTTTCATCCCTGTACCGGAGGTTCTTGATAAATCGGACCAAAATTTCCTCGCTTGGAGTGAAGCTTTGAAGTTTCTTGCGCTGGATGTCCTGACAATTCTCAAGACTGAACAACACGTCACCTGCTTCCCTGAAGCAGACTCTATGTCACTCCGATAGTACTTCGCATGACACACAATCATTCAAGCTATGACACAAAGCTCTGCAAACTTCCGATAGGCGAAAAATGCAGCATCCCCGGTTCCCAGGATCACCATATGACGCGGCTACACGCAGCTCTATGACCTCTAGTGCGGGGTCCTGAAGCAGTGTCTCGACTCTGAAGGATTTCTTCGCCAACAAGTACTCCTTGATGTACTTCTTGGTCGTAGCAGTCAGGCCATTCGGCTTCTGACTCTCTGTCCTTGCAACATGCCAAGGGATGCAAAACACAAACTAGACGATGGATGTCCCAAGAGAGCGTCGAGGAGCAAGTTACTTGGCTGTAAGGAGAAACACAATGTAATGAGTATGTAAGAAGTATGTTCTTCAAGAAGAAGAAAACACAATGCCAGCGGGATATAGTGGCTTCCATAAATGGGACATCCCCAAAATTAATGTTTTATAAGGCAAAAACCCATTTAAACATATTTAAATACCCCTATGTCAGGAAACTTCCATATAGCGATGGTAAGATGACAACTGACAAGAAGCATTTCAACCATTTGTACTGATGCAGAACGAAAGCAAGAAGATAATTACAGGATTGGATAACCCCACAAGTCAACTTCTTCCAATACTGAGCTTCAAAAATTCTAGCGGGGACAGGGAAGGAAGGAAAGACAAAGGAGGTGGTGAAAGACAGTGTGTGAAAGTATGTGAAAAGAAAGTATGCATGTACGTATGTATGTATGTATGTTTGTATGAATGAATGAAGGAATGAATGTATGTAATTATGTATGTATGTATGTATGCACGCACGACGGTAGATGTGCGTTCGTGGCACGCCTGCCGCGCAAGACGACAATAGTCCCACGCGCGCGCCGCGCCTGCCACGCTACGCGCCGCGGCGTCACGGGCGACTAAACCAAAACCAAGCGCGCCACCCTGTGCCATTAGTCCCACACCTGCCACGCAAAACGATGGTAGATGTGAGTTTGTGCCACGCCTACCACGCAAAACGACAGTAGATGTGAGTTTGTGCCGCGCCTGCCACGCAAAGTGCCGCGGCGCCACGGGCGACTAAACCACGATCAAGCGCGCCACCCAGTGCCATCAGTGCCACGCTTGCCACGCAAAACGATCGTAAGTCCAGGTATGCCTTTGTGCCACGCCTACCACGCAAAACAACGGTAACTGT